TTAGAAGAAAACCTTCATTCAGAAACATTGCAATGAATTATCTATGTACACAGAGACAGCATCCTCAACTCTAAATACAGAAATAATTACATAGGCCAGTGAGGGATTATTTTGGTTAGCTTACTTGATATGGAAGACTTGCCCGCTGTGACTGGCACCATTTCCTGGGTTGGGGCCCTATTTGTATGAAAAGGAGGAAGTGAGCTGAGCACATTCATTCATCAGTGTCTGCTCTCTGCTCGTGGACGCAATATGGCCAGTTGCCTTGACTCCCCCTCCACGATGGACTACGCCTTGACCTGTGTCAGAAATAAACCCTGCTTCTTTCCTTACAGTGCTCTTGTCAGGAGGCTTCATCACAGCAACAGGAAGGGAACTAAGACAGCAACTGAGCTACAAAACACGCCTGGGCTCAGGTGCTGTGGAATAATCCTTTTGTACACTGTAAATGTGTGTTACTCTTGTTGGTTAATAAAGAGCTGACTGGGCAATGGCTAGGCAGGATTTTCAGGACAGGGAGAATGCTGGGAAGAAGAGGGGCAGAGTTAAGGGAGTCTGAGGAGTCCCCAGCCAGATGGAAAGGAAGCAGGACATGCAGGACAGGTAAAAGCCATGAGCATCAGGGCAGCACATAGATGAACAGAAATGGGTTAATTTAAGTTGTAAGAGTTACCTAGTAATAAGCCTGAGGTATTGGCCGAGCATTTATAATTAATAATAAGTTTCTGAATGATTATTTGGGAGCAGCTGCCTAGACACAGAGAAACTCTGCCTACACTCAGGTTTTGCAAAAATGTCACAGGTAACTAGCACAACCAGCACTGCTAACTAGTACAGCCAGCACTGCTAACTAGTACAGCCAGCACCTAACTGAACTGCTCTCTGGTGCTTTAGCTAGGAGACAAGTGAAATAAGGTCGCTCCTCATTGTTGAACACCTTCCCAATAAGTAATTAACTTGTTAGTTTTCTGTACTGCCTCAGGTGGCCCAGGAAAAAATAGTTCAGCTTTTGGATCAGCCTGTCAATCACTAAACAGTTACTTTGTACTGTGCTAATTTCTTAGCTCCTTTACAAGCCGTCTCTGTCTTTTTCACTCGTTGTTACTAGTGGCATATAAATGTGTGCTCATATTTGTGTAGGACAGAGATCAGCCTCAGGCGGTGATCTCCAGGACCCATGCATCCACCTGGGTTATTCTAAGTCAAGGTCTCTCCCTGGACCAGAGCGTGCTGTTTTTAAGTGAGGCTTCCTGGCAGGAGAGTCTCCCTGGTGATGGCGTTACAAACGTTTGCCACCAAGCCCAGGTTTTCTGTGTGTGCTGGGGATTTAATTGGGTCCTCATGCTTACTCTGCAGACACTACTGGCCAAGCTTGCTCTCCAGCTCCTGATTGAATTTAGCTTTTTTTACACTTACTTATTTTTATTTTACATGTGTAAGTGTTTTGCCTGCTTGTTTATATGTGCAGCATATATATTCTGGCTCCTGATGAGGTCAAAAGAGAGTAGCAGATGACCTGGAACTAGAGGTCCAGACGGTTGTAAGCCCCATGTAGGTCCAGGGAACCAAACCCAACCCTCTACAAGGGCAACAAGTCCTCTTAACAGCTGAACCACCTCTTTATCCTTCTGATAGAGAACACACACACACACACACACACACACACACAGAAAGACACTGCTATTTTTTTCAGATTAGGAGTCCAACACTTAAACAAGATGGCATGCAGCTTTCCACAGTATCAAGTCACTGGAGAACAGTGAGGTCTCTCAGGCAGGACTCTTGGATCTCAGCATTCATGTTCTGTATCACTGTACTCAGGTAAACATAAGCTGTTCTATGACTTCCTCTCCCCTTGGTCGGGAGTAACCACAGCGAATCATCCTGTGAAAAGATTACATTAGAGAGTTTAAAGCCAAAGCCAAACTGCTGCACTTCCCAGCTCATAGTGTATTTTCCCAGGATGGCGTGCTAGAGCTTCAACTTGGATTTCATTCTTACCAACATTAGTCTTAGAATACAACATTTAATCATTTAAAAATCACTTCACTTTATTTTATGGGTCTGGGTATTTTGCCTGCATGTATGTCTGTGTACCATATGTTTGACTTGCACCCATGGAGGGCCAACAGGGCATTAGATCCCCTGAGTCTGGAACTGTGAGCCGCTATTGGGTGCTGGGAATGGAACCTGGGTCCTCTAGAAGAGCAGCCCGTGCTCCTAATCTCTGGGCATCTCTCCAGCGCCAGCATTTGATCTTCTTGTTGAAAACGAGTGCTAGTTAGTTGGGCATGATGGCAGCTGGGCGCCATGGTGCGTGCCTCTAATGCCAGCACTAGAGAGGTAGAAACAGGCGGATCTCTGTGAGTCTGAGGTCAACCTGGACTACATAGTGAGTTCTATGACAGCTAGGGATGTTACTCAGAGAAACCCTGGCTCAGGAAAGAAAAATGACTGCTAGTTAAGCCAACTCTTCAAAGCCACCAAGCGCCTAGAGTTACAGAATTTAACAAGCATCTGCAAGTGCCGAAAGCACGGCCTTCCTACATCTGTACTGAACTCCGTGCCGCCCCATCTGGAGCTTCAGTTAGGGTTACAAGAAAGTGCGCTGCTTCTAGTGAAATTGAAATCAGTGACAAGGAAGAAGTGAAACTGCAAAATAATCGAAAATCTCAGGAGACAGAGCTGTGTGTGGTCCAAGTTGGCAGACCGAGAAAAGGATCTTCATCCTTTATCTCGCCTCTTTTGCTAAACAGCTGTATCTAAGTGTCAGAGTTAATTTTGTATAGTGACAGCTGTTGTGAGGCTGGAATCCAAGGCTGAGTGGTGGCAGGCAGATTAACAGATCAGGTCTTGGAGGCTGGAATCCAAGGCTGAGTGGTGGCAGGCAGATTAACAGATCAGGTCTTGGAGGCTGGAATCCAAGGCTGAGTGGTGGCAGGCAGATTAACAGATCAGGTCTTGGAGGCTGGAATCCAAGGCTGAGTGGTGGCAGGCAGATTAACAGATCAGGTCATGGAGGCTGGAATCCATGATATGTAGTGGATGGCAGATTTATAAATCAGGCCATGGGAGCTGTCCACTCTTCTTTTTTCCCGTAGTGCTACCTTTTAGCTCCCCTTTGTTCCCCTCTGCTCAGCGTGTCGTGAGGAAAAGATGAGCCAAGTTTGCTTAACACTGGGCCCAGCCTCCAGTATTTTAAGAAGGGAGCAGATGGCTGTGTGATGTTACTGTGTTTGCTATTAATAGAGGTAGTGGCTTACACAAAACGTGGGCAGAGGTTGCTGGTTTCATCTTCAAAAATGTTTAATTGATCTCTTTTTCTTTCCTTTCTCTTTAACTTTAATTTTTTTTCTTTCTGCCTATTTTTATTTTTAAATCACCCCTATGCTGTTAGTTTTTGTCAGCTTGGCACAAACCCAACTTACCTTGGAAGAGGGAATCTCAGCTGATGAATTGCCTCCATGAAATTGGCCTGTGGGCATGCTTGTGAGGCGTTTTTGTTGATTACTGATTGATGTGGGAAGATGCAGCCCACTCTGGGTGGTGTCACTCCTGAGCGGGTAGGCTTGGGCTACAAAGATAGCTTAACAAGCCCATGAGCAGCGCTCCTTCCTGGTCACTGCTCAGTTCCTGCCTGGAGTTCCTGTCTTCTTCTCTCAGTGAACTGTAAAGAGTAAGAGGAAATAAACCCTTTCCAACCCCAAGTTGCCCTTGGTCATAGTATTTATCATTATCAGCAAAAAAAAAGCAGACTAGAACGATTCCTAACCTCAACGGAACCTGACTTAGAATCATTCACCCCCCCCCCAGCAGAGTTGAAGGGCAGGCTTGAAGTCCATCCGTTACTGTTCTTCAGGATCCACTGGTTCCGATAGCATTGTGTTGCCACAACGTCAGACTGGTGTAACTTCCACTGAGGGCAGCAAGCAGTCAATCCTGAGGCCTGCCCTCTGTCACTATACACCTGAACATCCTTCATCCAGAGGACCCAGGTGCAATTCCCAGCACCCACATGGTGGCTTATAACACCAGTCCCAGTGAATCTAATATACACCCTGTTCTAATCTCTGTGGGCGTTACATACATGGGGTGCACCTACATTCATGTAAGCAAAACATCCATACACATAAAAACAAAGGAAAAAATGATAATTCCCAGAGAAATAGAGATCACAGAAGGACTTACTGAGAATGGCCAATATTCTCGGTTGAGTGAGAAAGATCGAGATTTTTTACAAAGCGTTAAATTTTTTTCAGGCCACGAAATAACTACCAAACACCCTTGCAGAAAGCTAACAGTTCCTGGCGGAGATGCCTGATCTGATGCCAGCCCAGCAAACCTTCAAAGCACTAATTTAGTTTCTGCCTGGTCCTGCTTTCTGTTGTGTCTCTTCCATGTGACCCAGTATATCACTGGAACAGAAGCTGTCTGTGGCCGTTAAGCAAATGCTTGCAGAAACTGGGCTGTCAATTCAGCATTTGGCCAGAGAATAAGAGACTTTTCAGTGAAAGCTTGGTTTCATTTTTGTTAGGCCAGCAAACAATAGTGCCACAATGGCTTTCCTGGTAAAAAGGATTAAAAAAAAAAAAAAAAACCTTTTGCTGACATTTCACTCTCTGATTTTAATGGTGGGTGGGTGTTTTCTACCTTTCCCTTGTTCCTCTGTCATGAAGGAGGCTTAAGTAGCCAGGATAAAAACCTCAATATCTGTGATGGGAAAGGATAAAATGAAAACCCAAATATATGAGAGATGATGGATGGATGGATGGATGGATGGATAAATAGCTAGATAGATAAGTATGTGGATAGGTAGGTAGGTAGATAGATAAGTTGGTAGATTAAGTCGGTAGGTAGATAAGTAGGTGGATAGAACAATTGCCTTTCAACTTTCCTCGAAGCTCTTCACTCCCACCCTGCTCCGTGTCCTCTTTTCATCCCTCCCTCCTTTGTGTCTATCTGTTCAGTATTATCAGTGTCTTTATAAAGCACTTTATTTACAGGGAACCAGTCAACTGTTTTGAGGCCCTCAAGCCACGGCGGCGAGCGTCCCAGCTCCCACATCAGAGCTGAGTTGCTGGGGAAAAGCCTTCCAAGAAGTAAGTCCCACTGCTTTCTCAGGACTTAGCCTACTGTTTTATGGCTTGTGCTTGGCTAAATTATCAATACTGCGTTTTTCTAAAGCCCGGTTTTCTTTAGGAGAGAATTTGAAGTCCAAAATCAAAGGACTGACATCTCCATGCGCTTTTGTACCTGGCGCTCTGGGCTTGCTTCAGAGAAGAGGGTGTCAGTTCAGCATCTTGGGGTAAATTGTTTTGATCATGTAGGAGACACAGTGTCGCTCATACTGTGTTTTATAATTGGCAGTTGGGAAGTTTGTATTTTACATCTTTTCTCTGTTTCTGCGGTTCCTGTCATCTCTGTCACCTCCATGCCACTATCAGGAATCCCTGCTCACAGCCTCCTTCCGGTGGGAATTTCTTTAACATTACTTGGAAAGGAAAGTAGTTTTCCCCAAAATGCATGAGATTCAAAGAGGAAAGGGACTTTTCCTTTTGTCGTTAAATGGCAAGGTTGCCTGAGCTGAGGTTTCTGAAGAGCCTGCCTCTCAGTACTGTTAGAGCTTTGAAACAGACAAAGGTAGGCATTTTAAGCCTTGTGTTCAGTCAGCATGACCAAAGGGTTCACTTGGGCAGGATGTGGGTGGAATCAGACCAGACCTTTGATGACAATGGTTCTGGCCGCTAACCTTCTTTGATGAGCAAAGAACACAGTCCACACTTCACTTAGAAGGCAAGTTGCCTCTCCCAATCCCTCTTTGCTTAATTCCACCAACTTGAAATAAATATAAAGGAATACAAACTGGTGGAGTGATGATGGGGATTTCTATGCACATCTAATGTCCATAAAAAAGTACCTTACACATAGCTTGAGCTGGGGGCTGGAATAGAACTCAGCAGTTAAGAGTATGCCCTGCTCTTCCAGAGGCCCTGGGTTCAGTTCCCAGCACCCATGTTGAAAGGCTCAAAACCACCTGTGACCCCAGCTTCACCTCTTCCAGTATCTGCAGGCACTTACAAGTGCATGACATACATAGACATAAATAAAACACAAAAATAAATCACCTTAAAAATACATAGCTTGAGCTTAGTAAATGCTGTTTCTATTACTAGTACTATTTTTATAATTAGAATTTGTTTAATTGAAGTATTAGTGAAATTAAACTCAGATACTCAGATCCTTGGGGGGGGGGTGGGAACCTGCATGATTAAAAATCTGATAATCCTAGCACTCTGGAGGCAGACACCAAGTGGATTTCTGTGAGTTCTAGGCCAACCTGGTCTAGGTCTACAGAGCAAGTTCCAGGACAGGCACCAAAACTAGAGAGAAACCTGAGCTCAGTTTCCACCAATTTGCAAATGCCTGCAACTCCAGTTCCAGGGCCTCTGATGCCTTTGGTCTCTTCTGCTCCTGCACCCATGTGTATAAACAACCACATATAAACGCATAAGCATAGTTAAAAATAATAAGCCTTTTTTTTAAAAGAAAAAGCCTGATAGTATTTGGACTGGGGTGATGGCCCAGTTGGTAAAAGGCTTGCTATGCAAGAACCTCAGTTTGGGTCCCTATCACCCACATTAAAAAGCCCAGCATTTAGTGGATGCCTCTAACGCCAGAACTGGGCAGTGAGGACAGAGGTGGAGGATCCTTGGGGTGTGCTGAGCACCTATGTAGCCAGAGAGATTTCGGTTCAGTAGGAGAACTTATCTCAAAACGGAGATAGAACGCAATAGAAGAAGATGCTTAGGTCAACCTCTGACCCTTCACTCAGAGTCACTTGAACACATACATTGTGCGTGTGCACGCGCACACACACACATTTTGTAAGTTGATACTATTTAATTTTTTATAATAGATAAATGCATGTGTATGTACATATGTATGTGCCTGTGTAGCTTTTACACAAACAGTATCAAACAGCACCTGTGGCTCTCTATCTCCCATTTTCATCACCACATCTTCAGTGTTAGAGTATATAACTTGTTCGTTATCTTTTTTGGTTTTTTTTTTGTTTATTTATTAAAAATTTCCACCTCCTCCGATCTTATTTCCGTCCCCCTCCTTCCACTCTCCCTCTCCTTCCCTCTCCAGTCCTAAGAGAAGTCAGGGTGCCCTGCCCTGTGGGAAGTCCAAGGCCTTCCCTGCTCCATCCAGGTCTAGGAAGGTGAGCATCCAAACAGACTAGGCTCCCAAAAAGCCAGTACATGCAGTAGAATCAAAACCTGATGTCATTATCATTGGCTTCTCAGTCCGCCCTTATCGTCAACCATATTCAGAGAGTCCAGTTTGGTCACATGCTCATTCAGTCCCAGTCCAGCTGGTCTTGGTGAGCTCCCAATAGATGAGTCACACTGTCTCAGTGGGTGGACACACCCCTCATGGTCCTGACTTCCTTGCTCATGTTCTCCCTCCTTCTGCTCTTCATCTGGGCCTTGGGAGCTCAGTCCAGTGCTCCAATGTGGGTCTCTGTCTCTATCTCCATCCATCGCCAGATAAAGGTTCTATGGTCATATGCAGGATATTCATCAGTGTGGCTATGGGAGAAGGCCAGTTCAGGCACCATCTCCTCTGCTGCCCAAGGACCTAGCTGTGGAAATCCCCTTGG